GAATCTCAACACATGATCTGCTGGGGAAGCGGAGTCAGTGTACACGGGAGATCTATCGGATTCATACTTGCACAATGCGTTTATGCCCTGCGGTGCTATCCATTCTGAAGACAGCAAAACATGCCAGTGCATTGCCAAGTACCGTGTTACAAGACATGGTCATGTGCGGTTTTAGGCATGTTAGAGTGCATTGGCAGCCTATTCATTTTAAATGGGCTGCCTTAATGCAACACGTGTTAAAATGCGTGCAACAACACACCACAAAACACGTCAACACGTCCATGAAGGAGATCTTCCTGAAAGAGACGAGGAATGAGGGGAAAACCTCCAATTGGGGCACAGCGGCTAGGAGTAGTCACAGGTCAGCAGGTGGGCAGCGGTGGCAGTGACCCAGCAGTTTAGGCTGCCAGGACACGATTGTGGGAGCCAAAAATCACAAAACATACAGGTGTGAAAGTGTAATGTAGTATATGAAGAGGCAAAAGCTTTAACATATATGAGAGGGTAAAGGTATAAACATATATGAGAGGGTAAAAGGTATAAACATATATGAGAGGGTAAAGGTATAAACATATGAGAGGGTAAAGGTATAAACATATGAGAGGGTAAAGGTAGAAACATATGAGAGGGTAAAGGTAGAACATATGAGAGGGTAAAGGTAAAACATATGAAGAGGTAAAAGGTAAAACATATGAGAGGGTAAAGGTAGAACATATGAGAGGGTAAAGGTAGAACATATGAGAGGGTAAAGGTAAAACATATGAAGAGGTAAAAGGTAAAACATATGAGAGGGTAAAGGTAGAACATATGAGAGGGTCAAGGTAGAACATATGAGAGGGTAAAAGGTAGAACATATGAGAGGGTCAAGGTAGAACATATGAGAGGGTAAAAGGTAGAACATATGAGAGGGTCAAGGTAGAACATATGAGAGGGTAAAAGGTAGAACATATGAGAGGGTCAAGGTAGAACATATGAGAGGGTAAAAGGTAGAACATATGAGAGGGTCAAGGTAGAACATATGAGAGGGTAAAAGGTAGAACATATGAGAGGGTCAAGGTAGAACATATGAGAGGGTAAAAGGTAGAACATATGAGAGGGTCAAGGTAGAACATATGAGAGGGTAAAAGGTAGAACATATGAGAGGGTCAAGGTAGAACATATGAGAGGGTAAAAGGTAGAACATATGAGAGGGTCAAGGTAGAACATATGAGAGGGTAAAAGGTAGAACATATGAGAGGGTCAAGGTAGAACATATGAGAGGGTAAAAGGTAGAACATATGAGAGGGTCAAGGTAGAACATATGAGAGGGTAAAAGGTAGAACATATGAGAGGGTCAAGGTAGAACATATGAGAGGGTAAAAGGTAGAACATATGAGAGGGTCAAGGTAGAACATATGAGAGGGTAAAAGGTAGAACATATGAGAGGGTCAAGGTAGAACATATGAGAGGGTAAAAGGTAGAACATATGAGAGGGTCAAGGTAGAACATATGAGAGGGTAAAAGGTAGAACATATGAGAGGGTCAAGGTAGAACATATGAGAGGGTAAAAGGTAGAACATATGAGAGGGTCAAGGTAGAACATATGAGAGGGTAAAAGGTAGAACATATGAGAGGGTCAAGGTAGAACATATGAGAGGGTAAAAGGTAGAACATATGAGAGGGTCAAGGTAGAACATATGAGAGGGTAAAAGGTAGAACATATGAGAGGGTCAAGGTAGAACATATGAGAGGGTAAAAGGTAGAACATATGAGAGGGTCAAGGTAGAACATATGAGAGGGTAAAAGGTAGAACATATGAGAGGGTCAAGGTAGAACATATGAGAGGGTAAAAGGTAGAACATATGAGAGGGTCAAGGTAGAACATATGAGAGGGTAAAAGGTAGAACATATGAGAGGGTCAAGGTAGAACATATGAGAGGGTAAAAGGTAGAACATATGAGAGGGTCAAGGTAGAACATATGAGAGGGTAAAAGGTAGAACATATGAGAGGGTCAAGGTAGAACATATGAGAGGGTAAAAGGTAGAACATATGAGAGGGTCAAGGTAGAACATATGAGAGGGTAAAAGGTAGAACATATGAGAGGGTCAAGGTAGAACATATGAGAGGGTAAAAGGTAGAACATATGAGAGGGTCAAGGTAGAACATATGAGAGGGTAAAAGGTAGAACATATGAGAGGGTCAAGGTAGAACATATGAGAGGGTAAAAGGTAGAACATATGAGAGGGTAAAGGTAGAACATATGAGAGGGTAAAGGT